CCCCCGCACATACATACACACCACTACCCATGGACCCTGCACATCCATACACACCACAACACATGGGCCCTGCTCATTCATACACTGCTCAGCCCATGGCCCCTGTACCTCCATCCTCCTACAGATGACTACTAGAAGAGGAACACTCCGATGAGGAAGACGTTGACCTTTTGTCATTGTCATAGACAAAGTGATACCAAGTTTACATTTTGTAATATTATTATTTTTGTTCAAAACCTGCCTACTGTTTAAGCACTTCATTCTTTCTCAACCGCTGGGCAGAGGCCCACGTTCAGTTCTGTTAGACATGTTTGCCCTGGAGTGAAAAAACTTGAATATGACACTTTATGAATATGGCACTTTATTATTCATGGGATCTTTTTTTTATTGTTGTTGTCTATTGCAATAAAAGTCAAAATAAAGAACAAGTTTGCAGCCTAGCAAATGTTGAAACACACATGATATTAAACACTGATCATGTGGACTAAACAAGTGGACTAATAACTAAAGGAAAACAAGTGGCTTGTTAGTTCAATCAAAAAAGTCCTTTTAACAATGCTGTGCTGAATACACAATAGGTATACTGATCTGCATAAATCACGGTGTCCTCATGGATCCAGTGCTCACCTTGCTGTAAAGAACATACAGCCAGTAGCCACCTTAGTCACTGTCCAGTGTCCACACGTGCAGTCTAGTCCATTGGCCATTAAGGATCAAGGTATTTCGTGAGGATTCTCCTCACTCTCTTTCCTCTCACCTCATTACTGTCAGTCAGATATGTGTTTGCCTGGGTGGGAGGCTGCAGATCCCTGTCACACTGTATGGCTTCCTGCTCAACTTGGTGATCCACAGTGTCGTTACAGGCCTCACAGTAGTTGTGAAGGACAAAGCAGGCATAAATAACATTAGGCAGATCGAGGAGGTTTATGTCCATGGGACGCCTCAGGGCTGCAAACCTGGCCTTGAGCCGACCAAATGAGCATTCAATTACCATACGGGCCCTACACAAACTGAGTCCAAAGTATTGTTCTGATGGGGTAGAGCCTCCACCTGAGTACTCTTTCATAAGGTAAGGGAGAAGGGGGTAAGCAGGGTCCCCCAAGAGAAAGATAGGTATTGGCTCCTCTTCCTCCACTATCTGCCTTTCAAGTGAAGGTATCTTCCCAGTCTTGAGGTACGTGTTCACTTTCGAATTGGCGAAGACACGCGCATCGTGAACACTTCCAGGCCATTTTATGACCACATCCATGAATCTGTAAGGCAAGCAAACAGCATATTTTAACTCAAAGTGCTTTACCATCTTTAATGACAATAGAGGAACATACATGGGATAGCCTTTAGAAAGAGCACAAGAGAGTTCAAAAACTTTGATTAGGCATACCTGTATTTGTGGTCGCACACAGCTTGGACGTTCAGGGAGAACCTGTGTTTCCTGTTTATGTAATCCATGGCGTTGACGGCTGGCTGTTTTATGTCAATATGTGTCCCGTCTACCGCTCCCAAACATTGGGGCATTCCATGATCTCGCAGAAATCCGGATACGAGTTCCTCTGTCTCGGGCACAGTAAAAGGCAACTGGATATATTTCGGACCGAGGTGGACCGTTATGGCTTTGCACGTTTGTCTTACGATGACCGACACAGTCGGACGTGATAAGCCAAATGCGTTCGCTGTCTTCCTTAGACGTCCCTCGTCACTTAAATAATATAAAGTGCACGCTACCTTTTTCAGGACCCCCACAGGTGCTCTCATATTAGTTATTTCGCCCTCTATGTATGGGCGAAGTTCCTCACTCAAGGCGACAAGCGAATCTTTGGACATGCGAAAGTTTTCTCGCCATGCTCTGTCGTCAACTTCGCCTTGAACAAAGTTGTCCCACCATAGACTGGTTCTCCCGGGTCTTATCCACACCTGTCTGGTTCGCCTCCGACGAATTGGAGCATCCAACAATTGCCGTA